CCCGCCGGCTTGGTGGTATGCCCCACCCGGAAGAGATAGAGCCACAACTCCCAGTGGGGAGCAATCCCCAAATACCCCTCGCAGACAGCGACGAAGACGGCCGCCTACGCGATAGAATTGGGGTTGAAGTTGTGGAGCTCCACGCCATAGTAGTGCGGGAGCGCCCGCATGAATCGGTCCGCTGGGACGCCGAGGCCGCGCTTGTGAAAGGACACGAAGCTCACGACGTAACCGTTGCGAGGCCTCGGCTCCGGCTCGCCCGATGGAGTGATCCACACCGGTCTGTTGGGGTCGGTCACCGGACGAAGGAGCCCGCCGTCGATGTGCGATTGAAGCATCTCCACGGTGACGTCGGATGGATCCCAAGGGTCCGCCTCGATGACAACAATGTCGCCGGCCATGAGTGCGGTGGAGGGCTCAACTACGGCGGTGAGTCTCTCTCTCTGCCTCGCCTCTTTCCCTTCTTCCTCCCAGGGCTCTCTGCTCTAGCGACGGCTCAAAGACGGCAAATGCTAATGCGGGCAAGGTAAGGAGGGGAGGAGCGAGGCTCGTTGCGTATTTATGCAGGGTGAAGGCGAAACGGATGGGCGACGAAATCGGAGAAGTTTCCCTCAGATCCGGCGTGGTTAATCCTGATCCGATTTTACCGCCCGTATGTCCACCTTTTCCTCATTAATAGCAGGAACAGTTACGTCCCATCCACTGACGCCACGTCATGACCGACCGCTACAGCAGCAGGCGTCGTTCCGCCTCCCCAAGGAAATCGCCTCAAAAGGCGCGTCGGCCGTTGTCGAACCAATAGGGGAGATATCCCCCCATCCTATTCCTTTCAGGTGAAGGAACCGGGCGTCGAGCCCATTACGGTCCAGGGGTTCAAAGGCTGGGCCCTTAAGGGTTTCGACAGCCACCCCAGGGCAACAGAGTCAGGGGCGACCGCTGGCGAGCCCGTACGGGGCCGAGACCCAAGCAAGCGAAACGCTTGGGACGCCCAAAGTCGCGTCCGAGATCGGTAGGGAAGTCTCCGAATGGGATCCCACCGTAAGGAGGCACCGAGCCACCGGGGCCCAACGAACGGCCCCAGCACCCACTAGAGAAACCCTCTAGTACTCTTGGAGTGCATCCATGGACCGCTAGCCGACCCCTAACGAACGGGGCTCGGGCCTCCACTCGGACTTACCCGATAACAGCTCACCAGAAATGCCAACGCTCGTGCCCATCGAGGGTAGCCTGGCATATTCCACCCCTCCTTCTGAACGAAAAGGAAGCGCGAGAGTCGTATAAAAAAGCCAGGGGGGACCCCTGACGGACCTCCCGCAGAGGCTAAGGGGCTCTCCCTGCAACTTTGCCGAGACCCAATGACCCAGGTTCGCACTCGAGGGGCCTCGGCAAACAAACCCCTCCTTCCGAACAAAAAGGTTGCGCGAGGGTCGTACAAAAAGCCAGGAGAACTCCTGACGGCCCTCTTGCTCCGGGCAGAGGCTAGGGAGCTCTTCCTGCAGATATGCTGAGACCCCACGACCCAGGCTCGCACCCGAGGGGGTCTCAGCAAACAAACCCTCACGCGCGAGGGGCGTATAAAAAGCCCGGAAAGCACCTGACGGCCCTCTCGCTTCGTGCAGAGGCTAGGGGGCTCTTCCTGCAAGTTTGCTGAGACCCAGCGACCCAGGTTCGCACACGAGTGGGCTCGGCAAACAACCCCTCTGTCCGAACGAAAAGGATGTGCGAGGGTTGAACAAAAAAGTCAGGGGGACCCCTGACCGCCCTCTCGCTCCGTGCGGAGGCTCGGGGGCTCCTCCTGCACCCAAGACGAGGACAAGCGACCCAAGCCCGCACCTGAAGACTCGAAAAAATGCGATAAAAGGGCACAGAGCCCGTTACGGTCTAGGGGTTCGAAGGCTGGGCCCCTAAGGGTTTCGACAGCCGCCCCAGGGCAACAGAGTCAGGGACGACTATGGGCGAGCCCGCGCTTGGCCGAGACCCGAGCAGGCGACTACTCGGGACGCTCTAAGTCGTGTCCGAGACCGACAGGGAGGTCTCCGAATGGGATCCCACCGTAGGGAGGCACCGAGCCACCGGGGCTTAGCGAATGGCCCCAGCACCCACTAGAGAAACCCTCTGGTACTCTTGGAGTGCGTCCATGGACCGCTAGCCGACCCCTAACGAATGAGGCTCGGACCTCCACTCAGACTTACCCGATAATAACTCGCCGGAGGTGTCACTGCTCGCGCCCACCGAGGGTAGCATGGCACCCTCCACCCCTCCTTCCGAACAAAACGGATTTGTGAGGGCGATGCAAAAAAGATAGGGAAACTCCTGGTCGTCCTCTTGCTCCTTCCTATAACTAAACTGAGGCTCAGCGACCCGAACTCGCATTCATGGGCTCGGCTAGCGCAATAAAAATCCGTCGCACGACGTAAGAAAAGCCCCTGGAGGAGTCAAATCCACTCCTCCAGGGCCTCGGGGGCTACACCCGGTGGGTGCGCTCACACGCACCCACCGAGGCCTCGAGTACGAAACGCAAATCTCGACAAGAGCCGCCGCAAGCCGAGTCTCAAACCTCTGAGAGAGCTCACACACTCTCTCAGAGGCTCGGGGGCTACTGTCGGGTACCGTAAAAAGGGGGTACCCTAAGCAAAAGCCGAAAAAACTCATAAAACCCCCATGAAGCCTCCTTAGTCGAACTAAGAAAACAGTTCACGGTGACGTCCGAGGCCGGCTCGACCGAATCCGATCTCGGACCAAATCTCTGCCTCGCCCGAGGCCCCTGGTCAGGGTCTCGGAGGTCCCGATCCCACTCCGCCTCGTCCGAGGCCGGGCTTGTCGCATGTCCTCGTCGCCTCCGCCTCGATCGTCCCTCTGGCAGGCTGTCCCATCCATTTAATGCCCCTGCGAGCACCCGCTGCGTCAGCCACGACCGCCAGGGTACATCAACAGGGGCGATAGGACAACGGTCAAATCTCCTTTTTACCATCCCTTACTGACGGTGCAGGGGTTACCGTGCCCTGTGGACACACGTCCCACACTATTCCACCTAAACCGAGTACGACACTGACCGCCGAGGCCCCCGTATCGCACGCGGGGCACGTCCAAGGCCTCGGATGGATAACTAGCTCTCCGCCTCGCCAGTGGCCTCAGAGGCCTCGGATAGGAAACCGATTCTCCGACTCGCCCAAGACCCCGCCGAAAAGGCCTCGGGCGAGTTACCAACGTTCCACCTGGTTCAAGACAGGCTCGGCAAACCACCCCATCGCCTCCGCCTCGACCAACCACTCCCACGACATCATCCGGATGACAGCTCAGTACGAGAGGAGTGGCCGACGAGACGCAAATCACATCGGCACCATGCCGCCCGAAACAAGACAAGGCAGGAGTTACCGGCCACTGTGCGCAGCACTGTGCCCACGACTAAATGTCCATACCGCACTGTGCTGCCTAACTCTAACTACTCCAAGGACGACGCAGCATGGGGAGTTAAGCTCGGATCCCTGTAGCCTCGGAATCAGTGTGCAGGGTCAGCAGCTCCACCCACGCCTCGATAATTTACCTCAGGGTCTCGACAACCTTGGGGTTCACACCTATCGAGCCCCCCCACGATGGCTCGGCCTCGGCACCGGCTAAGCCTCGGCACTTCGTGCGGACAACGCACTACGACCGGCACGTCGCTCGTCAGGCCCTACATCAAGCTATTACGTCGCACAGGATCGGATGTGACCGGTGTGCTGCTCCGGCCAGGGGCAGAACCACTCCATCGGCTATTCCGCCACAGCGACAGGCCATAGGTCTCGGACAGACCGCCTCTGTTCACACGACGCCACGTAACTAGCGCATGTATCACCCCCATCCCCCCTTCTACTATAAAAGGGAGGGACCGGGGCCATTTCTAGGGAAGAGGGACACGGGCATGAACTGGAACACACTTAGGCACATACGAACTCACGAGGAAGACGAACACAGGCCGTAGCACCCACACTTAGATCAGCGTCTCGAGCAATTCGTCCCGTTCATCATAGAGACTTGGGGCTAGCTCCCTCTCTCGCCCTGCTTGTAACCCCCTACTACGAGCACTTCAGTGCAAGAAATACAATATCGATCTCCTAGACTGGACGTAGGGCACTGATTGACTGAACCAGTATAAACCTGGTGTCTCTTTGCGTCACCATCCGGGATTAGGGGCACGCAGTACAAATTTGCTAGTTGGTTGAGGACCCCCGGTCCGAAACACCGACAAATAGTAACTGACCGTGACAATAAGGCATGCTCTATGCACTGATCTGCGATGGAATTAGAAAAAGATAAAGTAAGTTAAGTTTAAGTCATAAGGTGAGATCAAGGGGGAGAATGTTATATTGATCTCCACCAGTTTGTCCAACGGTCAATTGGGCCCTTGATCCGCGCCCTGATGGGGGGCGCCTAGCCGTTCTCCTGGCTAATGGGCCCCCGTCGGGCAGCGCTATAAAGAGTAAGGTAGGGGCCGGGGCGCAAGACACGAGGGTCACCGCAGCCGCCAGCGCTCCACCGGTTTTCCTATCCCTAAGCCGATTTAGAGGGCGCGCGGTAAGCGATGGGAAGCGTCATCGCCTTCGTCGCCGCCATTGGACCGTGCCTGCATGACTTCCCCGACTCCAACCCCAGTGGCCACGTCGCTGTGGCGCCATGGCCGCGACCGCGCTTGGCGACCCAAGTCTTCTATCTATGCTAAATATTACCCACTGATCTATGTTTAGAAGTACTTTTAGACTTAAAAGTACAACTGAAACACCTGATGAAACAGTAAGACATATACCTTGCAAAATAACCTCACGATCTCTGACAATCAAACGAAAAAACTACAGAAAAAGAACCGGCCCTATAGCTCTTTTTTACCGGTGGCGAACCAACGTAAATGTAGAAAACTTTACTCAAGTACACACTGTTTGACACAACCACATGAACAGTCTGAATTCAACAGCACACTGACACGGTTCTAGCCCATCAGCTGTGCGCGCGCGAACCAAATTTACTCAAGAGTAGTTCACCTTCCTGCAGTTGTTGCGGATCTCGCCGCTGCTCCCGGTGAGCGGGCTCAGGCTGGCCATCCTCACCATGGCCTCCGCGAAGTCCCTCCTGAACGCGTCGGCGTTGGCGGCGTAGAACCTCACGAGAGCGTCCGTGACGCCGAGGCCGCCAGCGAACAGCTGCTGGTCCGAGTGGAGGACTCCCCTGCTCCGCAGCAGCGAGGCGAAGTAGGCGCCGTCGAAGCGCGCGGGCGTGGGGTCGAGCGGGGCGAGGCTGTCGTCGCCGCTGCCGGCGGCCCGCGGGCACACGGCCCGGAGCGAGGCGGCGAGGGAGCCGTCCAGGGTGGCGGTCTCGTTGTAGAGGCGGTCCCGGAAGTTGGTGCAGCGGGAGAAGCCCAGCGTGTGCCCTCCGGACAGCACGACGAGGTCCTGGAGGGAGAGGCCGTGCGACGCGAAGGTGGAGGCGAGGCGGTCCAGGCTGAAGGTCGGCGCCGGGATGCTGTTGTTCGCCGCCGCCTGGCTCGCCGTCCGCGCGTCCCGGCGGCCCAGCGGCACGTTGTACGACGGCCCTCCCAGCTGCATGTGCATGGTGTGCATTCGTGCATGCATGCGCGACTAACTAGTTAGTTAGCTGCAGTGCGTCCGTGTGTGCATGGACGGGTGGTGAAGGTTTTCGTGCGTGCATGCAACAAGACGATGGAGGCGAATGAATAACGAACCGCGACGACGGAGTCACGTGCCGCGACGGCGACGATGTCGGCGCAGGAGACCACGTTGCCCCTGCAGGCGGCGTTGACGGCGCCCTTGATGCTGTCGATCACGTCGAAGCCGCGGACGGAGTTGGCGTTCGGCGCGCCCATCTTCTCGCCGGTGAAGAAGGGCGTGTCGTCCAGCAGGATGGACCCGTCGCACCCCTGAACCAAGCACAAACGCAAAGAGATGAGATCGAACACACGCGCACAGACGATATCGGAGAGAAGTCGAATGCACGCATGCATTGTCCATGCTCTGCGTACGTTGACGAAGCAGTCGTGGAAGTGCAACCGCAGCAGCGACGCGCCCATGCGGGGCTCCGCCGCCACAGCCTCCTCCACGAGCTTCTTGATGGTGGGGAGCGCCGCCGGGCACGCCTTGTCGTAGAAGTGCGGGTCCAACTGCGCGCTGCTGGTCATGGCCAAGAGAGCGAACGCCACGGTCGCGACGACACACGCCGCCGCCACGAAACGGTGAGACATTGAAGCCACCATCTCTAGCTAGCTCAACAGCTTCTTCTGCACCACGTTAATCAGCTAACTAATCGAGCTATCAGACGACAACTAATTCACCTATCAAAGCTGGCTTTGGCTCCAGTGGATGCGAGAAAGCACTGCTGGAAGCGATTTATATAGCACAAGCACATGGAGTTGATCCGTCGACTCGATCGGTTCTACGCAAGCAGCTACCTAAGCTAGCGTCTCGCGCAGAAAGCGTTAAAAAAGTGAGATAAATGATTCAGTAGATGAACTAAGGAAAGGCGTGTGGAGTTGACTACTGTATTGAATGCTCAGGATTTCCAGCTGGTAGGTAGGAAAAATGGAGACTGGAATGACTGATGGATGGGCTGTGGTGAGGCTTTTGTTGCTCAACGTTTTTTAGCTAACCACCGGTCGATCTGATGATGATGATCTCCTAATATAATGCATGACGATCGCCGGCAACTAATCACGGGGAAGCTGCCTCGATTTGCTCAACGGGCAGCCTCTTCATGAGAATATGAGATGAAGGTGATCTAATTGACCTACCCAAGACTACTCGATCAGCTCTGTGGCCCAAGCTCATTGATCGTACTTTGCTTCTCCGTTATTAAGCGGTTTTTATATGCACCAGCACGACAACACCACCCAAACTTTGTACACTTGTACTACGCATACGCTGCTACAGGTACCGTGCAGCTCCTGTACTACTACTGCCAAGATAATGTTGTCTCGTTTCACTTAGGAGTTCCAGAATTATCTGGAACATTTTGTTTCCCAAGAATGGAATTCTTGTTTCTTGATATATGCGTACGTGAACAAAGCGCGCAGGTCAAAGATTGAGTTCCTTGGTTTCTTGTTTGGAGTGTGGTTCAACCGGTACGTTCTCAATAACCCATAGAGTAGTCTCTCCTTTTTAATTCTTCAATGTACTCCCTCAGCTCCGAAAAAACGTGCAATTCTAAAACCCCGTTTGGTACGGTTTTGTTTTACCGGTGAAGCAGCTTTCTTTTTTACTTCGGCTCCACGAGCAATTTCATTGGTGAAGCTGAAGTTGTTCTAGAAAAACGTTTCATAAAACAGTTTCTCACAATAGATAGGAGAAGAAGCTAGTATTTTCAGCTCCATCCAATATCCATCCCTTGTGAGGCCGGATTTTAAAATGAGCTCCACTTGACGTTTAAAAAATGTTTGGTAAAATAGCTTCTCATAATATATAAGAAAGAGAGAGCTAGAAAAAGTTAGTATTCTTCATCTCCACCCAGCGCTTATCCCTTGTAAGACCAGGTTTTAAGGAGCTCTGCTTGAGAAGTCATTCCATTTTAACCTGTTTGGTACATAAATTTTTTAACTTTGCAACAAATTGGCAACTTCATCAAAATTTTATTATTACTTCACGTCCATTCTTGTGAGCTGTGCTAAAAAAAATCTAAAAATTCTCACAATAATCAGAAACATCTAGCTTTTAATTTGATAAATTGATTATCATTGTTAAAAAAAGGCAATGGATCTAATTATGTTTTATAGGTTACGTACCTCTAGGATTATGAAAATGCATAAAGTAGCGTGGGGCTAAAATGGATCCATTTTGCCTGGTTTGCCACTAAGGTTCCTATCGAAAACCTTGCCTGTGTTTTATTTATTTTTTTGAAAAAAACTTTGCCTGTGGTACCCTTTTTTATTTTATTTTTTTGTACAAACCATTTTTGCGTCGCACTAGTATGGGCCTTTTAATAGTGGGAGCCCATTTTTTTTGGGCTTCTTCTAGAGCAGCATATGGACTAAAATCCAGAATACAGTTCATGGGCTTGTAACGTTTCGGATCCCAGTAGCACGGACAGGCAGACAGCTGCAAGCAAAACTGTCTGTTTCGGATATACTACTATATACTCACTTGCAGAAACGGCCACACCCAAACAGAAGGAGCTCACGCAGTCAAGCTGTTTTTTTTCCTTTAAGAAAAGCTCAAGCCATGAGGTTCGTGTGTGTACTACTAGTAGCAACTGATTCAGTGTTGACTATAGTACCATAGATAGGGATCAGCACAAGTTTTGTTTATATCCCATTCGAATCTTGGCAACGGTCCAGAAACGAAGCAGCACTTGCTGTCGTCTTCTCTTTGGCAACGTTCCCTGCCATGTAGGGTTGCTGATAAACTATGGCTGAAAGTAACGTTGGCTGAAAGTAACGTTGGCCGATAAATGCCATGTAGGGTCTAGTTCTGGTGGGGCCCACTAGAAACTCTTTTTTTTTATTACTCCACCCGCACCGGATCCTTGCGACTCCCATCCCCCCATCGCGACTCGCCTCCCCCAATCGCGACTCGCGCCGCCGCCGGTCCCAACCGCGCCACCGCCGCTTCAATCCGCCAAAGGAGCAGCGCCGGCGGCCCCTCGGAGGCGGATCTCGGTCGCCCGCGCCGCCTCCCTCCCTCCCGCCGCGCCCTTCCCCTCCTCTCCAAGGCCGCCGCCGCCGTAAGCTCCGGCCACAGCAGGTCGCCTCCACCGGGCCACTTGCTGCGCAGGTGAGAGTGAGCCACGTCTCCGTACCTCCAAATCGGCCCCGCTCTGCTGTGCTCTGATCTAGAGAAGTTCGCCATGGACGGAGACGGATTTGACGACTTGTGGAGCTCGCAGCCGTCGGCGAGCGGCCCTACCCGCGCCGGTCTCGACCTCAACTCGCAAGCGGCGGCGGCGGTGGGGTTCCCGGGGCTTTGGCTGTACGGAGACTTCCTCCAGGGCGACGACGTCGAGCTTCCTGGACGCGGCAGGGGCTCCGGCCTCCCTCCCTATCGCCCACCGCGTGCCGGAGCAGGAGACGCGTGGGCGACTCCGGCGCCCCAGCATGCCCGACAACTGCTCTTTGGCGGCTCCTCCTCGGCGGCAGCCGGTCGCGGAGGAGGAAACGGTGGCGGCTACACCAGCAGGTCGTCGTCGGGGGCAGGCGGTGGTGTTCGGCAGCGCGCGAACTCGGCCGCCGCAGCAGCCGGCCGGCGTCCCCAGCGCACCAACACGGCTTCCCGTGGCAGCGGTGGCCAGGGCGTACCGCTTCCCCGAGCACCAAGGGCACCGAGGGCACCGAGGAGTGGCGTCCGTGGACAAGCATCCGGCTCCGGCGCTACCTTCGACATTGACGATGAAGCAATGGAGGATAACGTGGAGGAGTTAGCGAGCTCCGGCAGTCCCCCGGTGAGCCATGCCAGTCGAGCCAAATGGAATGATGCAAATAATGCTTGCTTGTTAGAATTGTGCATAGAGCAATATAGAGCAGGAACGTATAATGGTTCACAAATGAGTGGTGAAGGGTACCAAGCCGTTGTCTATGGCTTACTTGCTAGAAGAAGGTTGGTGTACACTCGTGGACAAGTGAAGAACCAAATAGGCGTACTAAAAAACACCCACGCTTTCTGGCGCTACTTGCAAACGCACACAGGGTTGGGGAGGAGACCAGATGGATCCATGGATGTAGATCATGATTTTTGGCTAACTCACACAGAATTCCTTAGCATATTTTTGTGCTCTCATATCTTAACTAGTATTAACTAGTATGCTTGGTTACTCTATGCTTGCTTCAAATTTGATCAATGCAACTCGTTGCACATAGGAACTTATCACTGTCTTCTGTTTTACTTGGCTGTACATGCTGTTATCCTTTCGTTTGGACTGTCTTCTATTTTACTGGCTGTACATTAGTGAGTGTGAACTGCAGCAACAGCTAGTGCGTGTGAAAAAAATGATGCTTGTGCTATGTTGTGGTGTCTGATTATACATCTTTATTGTAAACAGCTGATATTCTCCTGTCACAAATTTCTACATCCACCTCCAGGTTTGCTACTTGAACTTTCTTACAAAAATTTGTATCCAATTACACTTGTTCATCTAAATCTTATTGTGTGCCTTTGAAAATATGTAGGGAAGTATTATATGGTTGATGCGGGGTACCCAAACAGGCCGGGCTACCTTTCACCATACAGATGTACAAGGTACCATGTGGAGTAATGGCAAAACTGCCCGCCGCCACAAGGTATGAAAGAAACCTTCAACCATGCACATGCCAAAGTTAGGAATGTCATAGAGCGAACTTTTGGAGCGTTGAAGATGAAGTTTAGGATTTTGTTGAACATGCCAAGATTTCCAGAGGAGAAGCAAACTAGAATTATTGTTGCTTGTATGGCTCTTCATAATTTTATTCGAGAGAGCAGAATTGCGGATAGAGAATTTGATGCCTGTGATGCGGATAAAAATTATAACCCAATGCCTAGTTCTTCGGCATCAGCATGGCCAGAAGATGAACCTCTTGTTGAAGATGTCAACATGAATGCCTTCCGTGATGAATTAGCTCATGCTTTGTTTTATGGAGTGTAATTTTTTTGTTTAGCTTGATCGAGGACTTGTAAGTTTGAGTGACACATCTCATATGTATGGACAAATTAAAATTTATTGTGATTTGGATGCTTGATTTGTACAAATAATGTATTTGTATTATTTGTGTGCGGGAGGAGGCCACACAAGAGCCTGCCACACCAAATCCGGCTAGAAAGATGGTTTAAATGAGCCAAATGATTAGAAAAGTACATTTATCGTTAATGTAATCTTTGCATCTAAATATCTTTTGAGTTAGAGTTAATTCAAAGCTAATCTAGAGCTAAACTGGCTCTAGCCTCTAGCCTCTAGCCGAGCTAGAGTATCCAGGGCCAATGATGGGAACAAGACGCGTCGCCCGGCGGATCCCGCGTTCCTTTGGATGCAGACTGCAGTGCGCGGGCGCGGCGGGGTGCAACGGCAAGTCGGCAACTCATCGCACGGTGTCCGTCTGCGTCATTTTCGGCTTTTCGTGTAACTGAGCTGAGCACCATCACCGCCCCGGCGCCCCCACCAGCTACTTCCGTGGTCGACCGTTAATGCCACGCCCGTTTCCGCTGGTGTTGCGCTTGGTTTGCCTCCGTCTCGGTGTGGCAGAGGCAGAGGAACCGAGGAAGCAGCCGCTGCGGCCTGCAGCTGCAGGGAAACGGTAACATGTGGCAGCCTTGCTGTGTGTGGGCGCTCGCTAACACCGGCAGCAGCAACAGGCAGGCCAAACAAGACTGCTTTGTTTAAAGGCAGAATAGCCGAGCCATTTTGGTCCTGAACTGTTAGTCGAGATTCAATTTTATCTTTGAACTTTTAAAACGATCGTTTTGATTCTCAAACTCTACTGGTAGGCTCAACTTCATCCTAGAGCTATGAAAATAATCGCTTCAGTCCTCAAACTTTGCATTTTGGGCTCAATTTTATCCATAAGCTATCAAAGTATATTTTGATCTTTAAACTTTTATTTCCAACTCAACTTTGTCTATTGTCCTATGTGGAACGCTGCACTGTTGCACCTGGTCAGCTCCAACACCACCAACGATCGCACATAGAAAAAAATATTCATCCAAAAACTCTTTAGTGGCTATAAATAATTCCAAGCTGTTATTTTTAATGTTACCTTATAATAGTATTATTTATATATATCTGACTAAATGATTTTTGTGGGAGCGATTATAGTTGCTTCCAACGCTATTTATTTCTTAAGAAAACATGAATATATTGAAACAATAGCAGATCTATAGTTTCTTTTCCTTAACTACTTCTAGAGTTAGGCTAACTAATAACCATTTGTGTATAAAATAATATTTTATACCTATAGGCTAAAAATAATTCATATTTAAGAATATTTAGATCTATATTTATATTCATCTTAGAATATTAATACAAATGTGAAAGTGTGCTATCTGATTCGGACGATAGGGACTATAATACCTAACAATGATTTTTCTATCTTAAATCACGGGTGGTGCTACACAAAGGACAAATTGAGCCAAAATGCATTTTGATAATTCATGGATGGAATTATGCCTAAAATATAAAGTTTTCTTTTTTATATAGACAAAGTTGAGTTGAAAATGAAAGTTAAAAGCACCTTGATAGTTTATGTATGAAATTGAGTCCAAAATGTAAAGTTTGAGAACTGAAACGATCATCTTCGTAGTTTTGGGATGAAATTGAACCTAAAAGTAGAGTTTGAGAACTAAAACGATCGTTTTAAAAGTTTAGGGATGAAACTAAGTCTCGAGTAATAGTTCAGAACCAAAATGTCTATTCTGCCTTGTTTAAACATGAACGTTGGTGGGAAGTGGAAACCTTTTCCTTTTTCCAAAGCTTTAAAATTAGGAGGGGCTGTGCCGCAACGGCCAACGGCTCCTTGGTGGGGCGGGCGGTCAACGTCTCTCTCGCTTGGTCACTCGCTACCCCTCTTAAGAACCGGCAGCTTTCCCGTGTTCCCACATCTCTCCGCCTGTAGCCAGTTCCTTTCCACTCTCCACTCTGCACCACCAAGAAACTGATCCCACCGTTCTCTTCCCCATGAGCTCCGAGGCGGAATGCGCAGCTCCGGCCGCCGCCTCCGATGCGGCGGGCGGCGGCAGGGCGGAGATCGACACGTCCGCGCCGTTCGAGTCCGTGCGGGAGGCCGTCGACCGCTTCGGCGGCAGCGCCGCCTGGAGCTCCGACCTCGTCAAGCGCATGTTCGCGCCCTCCAAGGTGACCACCCGCCGCCTCTTTTCTTCTCCCATTTCCTGCTCCTCCGTCGATCCCTGCCATGCTATAGCTCGCTCTGAGGTTGTTGGCTCCTCCTCCTTGTCTGGAACTCTGGATGGATTTGGGCATTTGGTTCCTGGTGGATGTCGGTAGCTGGCTACTTTACTCTTTGTGCAGGAATCCTACTGTGATTACTGATGCTTGCTGCCCGTCAATAAGCACATCATCGTTTCTGTTAGCAGCCAGCTAACACAGTTGTAACTCTCAGTTTTTGGTTTTAATATATTTCACTTGGGAGCAAGCTCCACAGTTTCCTTAAAAAAAAAAGCACATAATCAATTCCACGCCAGTTTTGCCTAATTGCTTGGTCCCCCGAGGACCCCAGCAAGCCAGCAACAGAGTGAATAGATAAGCAACAGGCTGCTTTTGCTACTATGCACTGCACTCTGCACATTTATGACGAGAGAGTTTAGCATAGGATTCCTAATTGGGTGGTCACTGTAGTTCCACGAATAGCGTCTTCTCAATCGTGGTGCGGCATTACGTTTTTTTTTTCGGCAGAGCTCGAGTAGTGCCGAGTGACATGTGTGAATTATTGTGTGGTGTTTTTCCTTCAACATATCTAGCGAGGACTAAAAGGCATCTCCTCATTCCGGGATTAGTATCTTTTCCCCATGCAACATACATATTTTATGATGCTGTTTCTAAATTTCCTTCCCACATTTGCAACCTGCAGAAACATGAACACTCGGAACAAGCTGCAGAGGCCATCAACGTAGAGGAGCAGGCTGCACAGCTAGAAAACGAGCTGGCCGTCAAAGAAAGGGAAACTCTTGATGTGCTCAAGGAACTGGAGGCAACCAAGAAAATCATAGCAGACCTGAAACTGAAGATACAGAAGGAAGCCACTGAAACGTCCCCTGAAGAAGCTGCGAAGTCTGATGAAGCTGATCACATCTCTAAGGCAGGACCTGAAGAGCAGCAACCTGAAAACATCAACGTCGATGTGGACATGGAAGGTGTTGAGGAAAATCATTCAGGTTCAGTATCGGTGGAACTTGAGCAGGCAAAGGCAAGCCTGAACAGAAGTACAGGTGATCTGGCTGCAGTACGGGCTGCAGTTGAGTTACTGCGAAATAGCATAGCAAAAGAAAAAATGTTGCTTGAAAGAGGCCGAGAAAAGCTCTCCTCTGACACTTCATTGGTTTCTTCTTTGGAGGATGAGCTGGACCAGGCAGCACAAAAGATGGAAACGCTGAAGGATCTGCAGAGGAGACGCAAAGACCCGTCGGACATTTTTATGGAGATCAAGAAAATGACCACTGAGGTGCAGCAGCTCAGGAGCATGGCAAATGATTCAAAGTCCGAAGCAATGGTGTTGGCTGCAGAAATTGAGCAGGCAAAGGCGAGCATTAGCACAGCTGAGGTCAGGTGCATTGCAGCCAGAAAGATGGAAGATGCCGCTAGAGCAGCAGAAGCCCTTGCACTTGCTGAGATCAAAGCACTACTGAGCAGTGAAAGTTCTTTTGAAGGTGATGCCGCTTCTGATGGAGTAACTCTCTCAATGGAGGAGTATTTCACACTGTGTTCCAAAGCTCTTGAAGCTGATGAAAACTCCAGGAAGAAAGTAGAAGACGCCATGCTGCAGGTAGATGTAGCTAACAATTCAGAGTCCGAGTCAGTTAAGAGGCTCGAGGATGCCAAAGTAGAGGTTGAGGAATGCAAGAAGGCGCTACAAGAGGCCCTAAAGAGGGTAGAGGCTGCAAACCATGGGAAACTTGCGGTGGAAGAGATTCTTCGTAGATGGAAATCTGAGAGTGGACACAAAAAGCAATCTCTTGGTGGCTCCCCAAAATTAAAAAATGCAGCTCACAGTCGCAAAGATTTGCACACCACAGATATGATTTCTGATGTTTCAGATAGATCACACAAACCAACATTATCAATTGGGCAGATACTGAGTATGAAGTTAATGGGACCTGATGGGTATGACAAAAGTGTTTGGGATGACAAAACAAGCGAGATACCAGATATCTCACTTGGTCAGATTCTAAACAGGAGTGGTGTTTTGTGCAGAGAAGATATGGCTACTCGCAAAAGAATTTCCGGAAAGAGGAAGAAGTTTGCATTGACTGGCCTTTCTGTTCTCCTGGCGAAGCAATCAAAGAACAAGAAGAAGAGAGAATCCTTTTAAACTGATATAAGTTGTCCCAAAAATATCAGTGTTGTACTTTATAGTATTTTAATATGCAGATGTAGTTCAACCTTGTCATTAGTAGTTAATTATATCAAGATATTTTATATGAAGAATGAGGTAGTATATTTAGTTCCTCATGCTAAATGTACCGGTAGCAATTTTTGCTGCTAATTAGAGTAGTGACTAACAATTCTCTGCTATGTATGCTATTGAGATCTACTTATTGGATCCAAATTTTACCTTTCTGCGTTGAGGTACCTATGGTCGCACAAGCACCATTTCTTTGGCCAAAATGCACAAGCATCGTTATCCTTGGCAACTTGGTTCGAGTTAACAACTCAACACAATTGCTCACATTTACGGCTAACTATTTGCTCGCAGGCGTTCATAGGAGCATGTATGTTTATATAGAAATAAAATAACAAAAGAGGCTTTCAAAGTGGCCACATTTAAATGCTAACTTAGTGTGTCAAACAATACTTGCGCACTAGATGTGAGCTGGCCCAACCCAGCCTACACCATGTACCGGACACGAAACTTAATAAAACATATGTTTTATTTTAATTATTTTTCATAGTAAAAAAATAGCAAGTGGCCTGACGCAGGTCATGGGCATGATTTTTCACCCCAAAAAGAATTAGGTCTTTTTGGGCCTAGCCAGCAAAAATGGTTTGTCTATTGTGCGCAAAGGGTGTCTTTCAAAAACTAACAAAATGGTTCTTCAAAGTTCAAACGTTCCAAATGCCTTGTAAGGATCCACACAAAATATCTTTGCTCTCGCTCTTTTATTCAACCTCATCTTCAAAATTCTTAGCCAACGATCCAGATTTATAGGGCCTATTTGGTTGCTTACATTAGCCTATATCTAGATTTGTGCAGTGCAGCTTAGTCAGGTCTGGTTGTGCACAAAGAGTCTTGTGCAGATGCTGCCTTGCACAGTGCTCAATGCAATATTAGTTACTATGCTAAATTTGGTCATATACTCATATAGGCAATGCAAATTTGCACAAACTGATGAGGCATAAAAATGGAATCGTCCACCTCCACGAGAACATGAGACCTCTGCAACAATATGGAGGTGCCTACATGGCTACATGCAATATAATATAAACAATCAAACACAAAGCATACCAAATGTGATTTACCTATGTAGGACCACAAAACATCAAGACATTGAATCGTTCATGCTGGATTGGGCTGTGTTGCATAAGGTATTGCAGGTAATTAATCTGCACCAACAAGTTGTTCATTTCAATAGATAAAATGTGTCAGTTAAATCTTCACGAAGCGTCGATATGTCCGAGTGGTTAAGGAGACAGACTTGAAATCTGTTGGGCTTCGCCCGCGCAGGTTCGAACCCTGCTGTCGACGGCTCTTTTTGTAATTTTCGTCTAGCTGTTTTTTTTTCGTTCACTCAATGACCCCTAAAGATGGCGACGTTTTCTGTAAGATTTGAACACTGTTGATAATTTCCGTTGTAAAAAAAACTGTTGATTCACTTCTCATTCTGAAAGTTAGACATTTGCTTCCATTATAAAAAAACTGTTTTGATTCACTTATCATTGAGAAAGTTAGACATTTGCTTTCGGCACTCTAGTCACGACTGCTATGCGTATACGAGATTTAAAAAACAATTTGTTTTTCACAATCAAGTCTTTTATCTGTTTTTCATTAAAAAGAAAGGCCAAAAGAAAAGCCAGAACACAGATACAAAGGATTCACAAATAATCCTAATTACCGGTGGAGACCCAAAGACACAAACGAACAGCAAGAATACACGAGGGGTGGGGGAACCTCCATCCCAAAACACCAACCAACTAAGCCTGCCAAAGAAAAAGTGCATCCACGCAAAGATCGCCAAGAGAGGGTGGGTGAAGCCGTGGTGGCAAAGCATCCATTGGTAGAAAGCTCAACATCCATCCGCAAGCGACCAGGTAACCGCTGTGAAGAAGAAGACGTATGCGCCAGTGACCAGGTAGCCGCTGCGAAGAAGAAGACGACTACGGCGACACCAACACCGAGGTGGACAAACCAAAGAAAGGAGGAAGCTGAAGCACAGGCAAGCATAGCACAAGCAAGGAGCAGCATCGACGGATGGTAGCCAACAACGAAGCCTCCAAGGAGGGCATGACGTTCACAGACGCCAACAACGTTTAGAGGGCATAAGAAGGACTTCGCCCCAGAACCGGCCCCAGCGACCTGCGCGACGAACTGATCCTTCGGCGACGTCTTCAGGAAGGTGAATGATGCACGTTGCACCACCACCACCGGCCCGACGCGAGATGCTGGGCAGGGTTTTCACCCAGGAGCTTGTTCGTTGACGACCGCTGGGGAGTTCCTTGGCCCCAGCCACCGACCCCAGAGGCAGGGCTATGCCGCCCCTGCCCGGCCAGATCGCTAGCCACCGCATGGTGGTGACCCGACCATGCCCAACCGTAGCACGTGTGTAACATCCCAAAAATTCACATTCAACAATCACTCGTATTAAAAAATTATTTTCTAAATTTATTCCAAAAACTATAAATCATCGTCATGTTCGCTTGGCTTATAAGCCGTACTTTTTTCAGACAACGAACAATATTTTTCTCTCAAAACAAATCAGTCAACAGTACTTTCAGCCATGGCTTATCAGCCAAGCAAATAGGGCATATGTGAGCTCCATTTTAATCGTCTTTCAACTCTTGTCTATCCTATATATCAATAATAGTCATCTCTATTCAATATATCATGTGCACTGTAGCACCAACGCCATCCGCCTGTCCCGCCTCTCTCTCGTTCCGCCCGCCCTCACCCGACAACGACGCATGCGCCGACCCCACCACCACCATCGCGACATTGTCCGCGCCCGGACCCCCTCGCGACTGCGGTGCTCGCGCACCACTGCAACACATTGGCCCCACCACCCCGCCTCACCATATACGCTGTGGGACCCAACCTCCACTCCCTCTCCCTCTTCTTCCTGATGAATCAGTAGCAGGCTAGCAGCACCAGCGCATAGCGCAAATACGCATTCAAGTAGCAAGTATGCATACATCATTAGCATCTCATAGTACTAGCAGCGCTCAGCGGGTACACCCTATCGGCAGCATGCCATCACAGCAAGAGCAAGCCTCACTAGTTGCCGCCCCCGCTAAGCGCCACCGTCCAACTGCCAGCTTCGTCACATCACCCTACAGCACCATCAACGCCTTAACGCCATGGCCGCGGTAGCAGTGAACAGCAAGGCAAGCAAGCACGCGCGAGGCAGGTAGCACAGCGCTGAGCTCGCACTAAAGCCAGTGACCGCTCGACCCACCTCTGCCGCGCCATTAGACTGTCTCCAACAACGAGAACCTAAACACAACACTCATTCTCTCGTTTGGGTCATATACAGAAAAAGGGTCCGCGCCTAAAATTTAGCTTCTCCAACAGCCAACCCAAATCAGCCCTCTTCTTCATCGGTCTCTTCGCCGACCACCCATCTCTTCCTCGGTCTCTCCACCGCCCACCCATCTCCATCCCCTCCTCTCTTTATACGCCTCGCCACCTCCCTCCACCCCGTCCCCGTCCCCGCACCGCATCACCTGCGCTTCCTCCGCCGTTACTCACACAGGCGCTTCGCTCGGCCGCATACGAGATCTGGCGGGACCAGCACAGCTGCTGCCATTTGCTACAGCCTCCGCTAGCCGCCATGCCCCCCATCCCCCACCTCTTGCCTCTCGTCGCGCCTCTCCTGCTGCTGCCGTCTTACATCCTATGTGAGAACCGACCAATTATCTGAAATTTAAGAGAATCATCCACGAAAGGACGATTGAGCAAACTTAAGCCCGTATAACCCGGTAGTCCGTGAAATCGCAAAGGATTTCAAACCAACTCGTGTCCGACCATGATCGTAATAAGTTTAGCGGTCACCATCACATATTACATAAAAGTTCGCAATCTCAGATACATCAGAGTTTAAACATAGTTATTACAAACCAGTTCGAATAAAAGTAGCGGAAGTCATTTGTTCAAAAAACACACACACACTCACGGAGTTTAAATATAGTGCCAAATGAATGATCATCTCCAACAAAAGCATTAGGCGAGGCGTAAGGAATGACCATGCCCATGGTCCTAAGCATCACCCATCGCGGGATAAAGGCGGTTGATACAATAGTAGTAATACATATACCCATCTGCAACAAGTGGGAATAAAACCCTGAGTACGAGAAGGTACTCAGCCAGACTTACCCGACATAACCGAAAATAATTGACACCAAAGATTATGAAGGGCTTTATAGTAGGGTAGGTGACTCATTTGCGAGAAAAAGAAGCATTTTAGCATTTCAAGAACTTTTGAAAAGCATTATTATCAACTTAATTATTATTAACCTATCGACTAGATTTGCATCTATACTAGAGTAAACATGTGATTAAGCAATTAATGATAACCACCGATCATTAAACAACTTCCATCTTGTCATATTCACTATAAGCTGTCCAAGTGTTCCATAAACATTTACTACGATGAAGTCACTCAAGTCAAGTGCTCACTATCCGGGAGAGCGATGGCGATTCGAATCGATTCCTAACGGTGGTGATTTATTCCTTACACAAATCTCACTCACCCGCTAAAGTGAGATATTGATCACCGAGTCAACTTTCCGGTATCTCGAGTTTGCCAGAACCACATGTACCGGGGCCGACCGATCGCACTTTGGTCTTATCATCCCGCCCCGTGTCCTACACACACCGCGCGCACAAGGCTGCTGGGCAATCTACTCGCCCGAAAAATCTCCCACCAGCGGTCGAAAGGTACTTTATCCGTCCGGCTAAATGTAAGGCATCGTTCAACATGACTCGAGGCCCAACAACGGTCGGTCCTTAATCGACCTGACGGAAACACTACGGTCCAAAACTCGCAAGTCTCCGCCTTGGTCTCAACTTCATTTAACACTTAGTTATACCATGACTTCATAGCCATCCAAGCAGATCCGGTAACCACCTATAGCTCGCGGTGACGAAATCACCCGACT